CATCTGCAATCCTCTGCAAGTATAAACTACCAAGCCCTTCCACTCTAGACTGCAGACCTGCTGGTCTATAGTTTGCAATATGGGGCAAATTTAGATCACCAGTAAACCAAAAGAAATGACACCCCCACGTTTTCACACCTACGGTAAATACTTCCAGTCATCACTGAAGGCAAAGTGCTGCTTTTGGTCTTTCTCCGTGATAAAAAAACAGGCTGGGGAAAAGGAGCCCAACAACCCTTTTTATTATATGTGGTGCTGTGGAAGAGAGTGAAAAAAAAGCTGCGTGTTTGAGGGGGAAGCTAGAGGACGCTGGAGTGGACAGACATCTTGCCCTCACTACGTGCAGCTGCACGGCTGTCAGTCAGAGGTGGCAGTCTGCAGTACCAGGGCCATCCAGGACATCGTTCTGTCTCATCTCCTCTTCACCCTCTACACTTTGGACTCCACCTACAACACGGACAGCTGCCATCTCCAGAAGTTCTCCCATGACTCGGCCATTGTAGGCTGCGTTTCCGAGGAGAACGAGCTGGAGTATCGATCGGTCATCATGAACTTTGTGGACTGGTGTAGAGAACCACCTGTGCCTTAACACCAGTAAGACCAAGGAGATAGTGATTGACTATAGGAGAACACACCCAGCTCAGTCCCCCGTGAACATCCAGGGATAGGACATAGAAACTGTTTACAAGAGTGGCCCCTGCTTAAAACCTCTTATGACTCTGCGGTGGCATCAGCCCTCCTCTACGCTTTTGTGGGCTGAGCCCCTGGCAGTGCAGAGCGGGGCAGAAAGAGACTGAACAAACTGTTGAGAAAGGCAGTTTCTGTCTTAGGCTGCGCACTGGACTCAGGCAAGGAAGTGGCTTAGAGGAGGGTTCTGTCCAAGCTTACATCCATCATGGACAACAGCTTCCATCCTCTGCACCAGACTGTAGAGGAGATGAGCAGCTCCTTTAATGAAATACTTTTATACCCTGTTTGTAAATAGGAGCGCTACTGCAGGTCATTCATCCCTGCTGCCACCAGACTTTTCAAATGCGACACACAACAACGGCAATAATGTATAATGTGCAATTTACTATTTAACCTGTTTCTTATATTTGACACTCAGTGCAACATGTTCGGATCAATCAGGTTGCGTATTAGTGTCCAGGATAAACAGTCTGATTGGTTTGGTATCATGCAAAGCAGTGTTCCTCTGGCATTTCCATTGAAAACAGGCATGATTCATGTAGCAGCTCAGAACAAGAGCTAATAATTCCTTTAAACCTTCAAGGATGACTAGTAAACAACCTATTGTACAGCTTAATATTTATTCCATTGTACAACCCTTAGGACAATAGTAGATATAACCTTGCTTTTTTCTAATCTTTCTGTTTCTACTAGCATGATGCTAAAATTTCAAAGCTTATATTAATACTCAGGAATATTGTTCGATACCATGGAAATAAAAATGGCAAATACTTAAAGGCATAAAAACAGATGAAAGAAGTAGAAAAATTTGCAATTTTCTATCTCGACACACAACGTGCTTTTTCAAAGGAATCACACATTCAGTTATAAATGGGGATGGGGATCGAAACCCGGTTCCATCAAGGACCCGGTTCCACTTTTTTCAAAACCCGAAAATCAATAACGTTTGGGCTTATCGATACCACTATCGAGTCTGGTCGTTTTTTTTTTTTTTCTCCCGGAGGTCCTGTAACATAATTGTGTGTCCCTCGAGTCGCATCACAGCATTTAAATCTAATCAATCCAATCACTGCAGCATGTCCACCAATGTTTTGGAATGAAATTGTAAGCAAACAGATATTAAAAGTAAAACAAGCGAAGTCTGGCACTTAACTTTGCTCGCGACTCGAGGATGGCTGAACGGAAAAGACTCCTCCTCCTCCTGCTGCTGCCGCCGCACCACAGTCGGGCCCGTCTTCATCATCCACTCAGAGTACCACTGGTAAGCCCGCACACAGACTTTGTAGCATGGGCGTAGGTTTGCATAGGGACCATAGGGACATGTCCCTACCAAAATTTTGAACCGACCTAATTGTCCCTACCAATAATTGGATGTGAGCAACATGTTTATAATTTACAGCAGTAGTTGTTGCAGCAGTGGCTTCTTTTCCTCTCGCTGCTCCTCTGCCTGGTCTCTCCTGTCCCTTTCATGTAGCAGCGCATGGAACTGTGCTGCGCTGTTTAACTCCACTCTCATTGGTTGTTCTGCCTTAGGTTCCGCCTTCTCTCTCTCTGATTGGCTGTTTTCTAGTCCTGGCGTGCTTGGAGCACAAAATTGAAAATTTATTCACACTAGAATGCTGCGGTTACTACAATAAATATTAGGCTACAAAACTAGTCCCAATAAAAAAAAAAAAAAATGAATATCATGTACACTAAAAAACAAAAACCTTTTTTTTTCTTTTATAAAGCGAAATATTCTGAGTCAGCCAGGAGTTCTGAAGACACAAAATGGGCAAATAAAGGCTGTAAGCCATCAACATTTCTGATTCTTATCCACAGCCAACTAGAAAAAGAAAAAGTTAGTGTTTCCTTTTTACCAATATTTAGTTGCTATTACTGTTTTCATTTTTTTATGACTCTTTGAGAAAGTTATAAGGTATAATTATTAGCAGGTGTTATTTCTCATATAGAGTACAACAACAAGAAATGGGGCCTAAACATCTGCTGTTTTTCATTTAAAAAGCATAATTAGGGTTCCACATAATAATAGTTCTATTTTATTGACTATTTATACTTCTAGAAATAGGATAAAGACAATAACAAACAAAGGAAGAATATAAACATTGATTTTATCTTATAGATTTCCACACAGTCTATAAGTAAATTAGTACAAACATTAATGTCTGGTAAAAATGCTGCTGAATCTGGCTGTTTATTTTGGATAATGTTAAATTACAGATAAGATAGTGTTATATTGTCTTTTATAATTGTTAAAAATTATTTTATATTTGAATACGGTACAATTAGGCTCATTCTTAGTGTTGTGTTTGTAGATGATTCCACTAAAAAAGAAAATAGACATACAGTAAGGAGCTATTTAAACAGTCAGACAGTAAGCAATATAGGACGATGATAAAAGGTTGTGTTACATTTAATCCTTTACTATTAAAATTGCACTTATACATTAAATGATTATAGGAAACACAGATATCCAGTAATAATGATGCAGGGCAGCTTGTAGGTGAAGCAGCTGGCCCTTCAGTGCTTCAGGTGATGTCTAAATAAACCAGGTGAAATTAAAGTATTTCAACATGAGGAGTTCTGGATGGAGAATATTGACAGACAAAACTTTTTTTTTTATCTTATATATTATATATATATATATATATATATATATATATATATATATATATATATATATATATATATATATATATATATATATAGTATTTTTACAATGTAGGTATAATTACTGATCTAAGTTGATTGCTCTATAGGGGAAAGGGACATTTATTTTACATTTATATTATGTTTTATAGTCTCCATTCACCAGTTAATGATTAATCACATACTAAATTAGTTGACGATTATTGAAATAATCAATTAATACGATTCATTTTTTCAGCCCTAGATAAAATACATGAAATGGGCTATATAGAGTAACTACAGCCCAGATGTTCAACTTTTATAGTGAAGTTAATATTTTAATGAATGTATTATTTTGCTGGATACAGAGAGAGCATAGTAGGTAAAGTATAAGAGTGGGGTTTAACTCTGCACAATTGTATATCTTCAAAAGAAAATACTGTATTTACCTTCTCTATTAGTCATGCAAATGAAACCATTTACAAAGTGGAAAACAGTCCTAATTCCACATTCATCAGAGCCAGTGATACTTCAAACATTGATAAACAGCATCTAATGAGTGTAGAGCTTATAAAATTTTTATTAATGTAGCAAAATGATGCTTTTCTCTTTTAACAATGAATTCGTCTTATCAGTACGGATGCCCACATCGAGCATAAAAAAGGGCACGCATATTGCAGCACCAATGACAACCGACCAATAGTGTCCCCACCAAAGTTCAAATCAAACCTACGCCCTTGCTTTGTAGCTTGTCCGGTCAGTTAAAAATAGTAATTGTGAAATCCACGTTGTAATCGGAAGCATACAAGCTAGTTAGCTTGAAAAGTTAATAAAGTTTCAGACGTGCTGCGTGATGATGTGTTCAGATTGGCTCAGTAAAACGACAATTAGGTTATCATGATGCGTTCAAGTGTAACGTAAAGAAAACGGGAAAATTTGTTTTTGGCGAGAAACATGAGTAATACAGTTGTATATTGCTCTATATATAATTAAACTACTGATGCCAACATTTATTAAAAATTACATTTAATTTAAAATACAATTATTTATTTGTTAAATATTTTCCTAATCACTAAAAACATGATAAAAAGTGACAGTAGACAATACATTAACCAACAATTGTGAAAATATATTCTAGTTAGTTTTATGTCATTTCGAAGTGGCCTATTACATTAGCCATGTTTATTGAAGGCTAGAAACGTTTTTGTTATGCTCACTTGTTAAGCAATAAAAGCAATACCAGTTCTGTTAAAAAAAATTTTGTTGCATCGTCTTTCCACCAAATAACAGAAAAGTATCGATAGTGGTATCGATAAAGACTCGGATCGATAAGGAGTATCGATAAAGGTATCGATATCAATAAATATTAACGATCCCCATCCCTAGTTATAAATAGGCCAATTATAACACAATATGACAATATTTTTAGGTTGTTTTAGTTATTATTTGTTAAATAATAACTAAAACAACATAATCTTGAAATGTAAAAATAAAAGTAGGAAGAATACCAATCATTTGTTAAATTAATATTGCATCCGGATACAGTGTTTGAGAAAGGATCCTTTTGACAACCCTGCTTTCTGCAGTGTTTCATTAGGAAGTGTCAGGCTGCCTTATTAAACCCAGTTCAATAAAATGTTAATTAACTGCCTGTGCTTTTATTTTCTTGTCTAAATTTTCAGGAACTGGTGAGAGTGGTAAGAGCACCTTCATCAAACAGATGAGGATCATCCACGGGACTGGTTACTCCGATGAAGACAAACGGGGTTTCACCAAACTCGTCTACCAGAACATCTTCACATCCATGCAGGCCATGATCCGGGCCGCCGAGACGCTGAACATCCCCTACAAATACGAGCACAACAAGGTATTTGAGATCCTCAGACTTCTGAAACTGGCACGATTACAGATACAGCCCTGGTAATTAAAGGTCACAGCGGTGTGGGATAAAGTGAGAAAGTTTGCTCTGAAGTGTTCAGGCCAGGGCTGAATATTTTTAGAATACAGTCTATCTTTTTTGGAGCAGCCTTCCATAATGATTTCCTGCTGATTTTTACACTTCCTGTGCCCTTACTGCGCTCCAATGCTCCATCACACCCTTTGTATATTAGAGCATGTTCTTGTTCGCCCACATACTGGCCATGCCCACATAGGGGCATATGAAAACAGAGAATACCAGACGGCTCTCACATTTCTCTGCCTCTTCTCAGCTAGATTTTACTCACTTCTTCATCTGGAGTCGTTCTTGTAGTTGTTGCTTTGGGAGCGGGTGCAGTGGCCTTGTACTGACCTATTATTACTATTATTATTATCATTATTACTCACTGTTTATTCCCTGTGAGAGGGACAAATGAGAGGAATTGAAGAGTAAGAGATGTCACCTTGGTAACATTTAGAGCTGCTGTAGTTTTTTTGTTTTCTGTTGGAGATGTTTGCTCAGGAAAAATTATGGAAACATTTGGCGGAATTAATTCATTTATTGTATGTTACAATCTGCTAATTGTTTGAATTTCCTCCAATACAAAACAATTTTCATAGCAACCCGGATTTTAAATGAGAGCTTAAATTGGATTTTAACGAGGTCTGTCGTGGTGTTTGGGTAATTATTCTCAGCATGTACCTTCTTATTCTATCCCATTAGGGTTTTCTTGTGAGCGATGGAGTCTAGTGTTGTTTCAGTCGTTTTTGTATTCTCTATTATTCATATACATTAAAAAGAATGCAACACATTTGCGCATTTATACGCTTTTTTAATAATTTTCCTATATTTAAGAATAAATAAATATTTTTTGGGGTTACACAAGCTAGATCCAGACATATTGAATCAAGCAATCACTTAAATGAAAACTGTCTGACAACTTGAAATAGGCTTAAAGCAATTCCTGATTGAACAAAAACCAACGCTAAGAGAACAATCCTGCTAATGACCTCCGGTCAGTGGAGACACATCTAAAAGCTGTGGAACACCAGACTTTCTCCAAGAGTCTATCAAGGACAGAGGTGTATGATGTGGGAGGCGATGTTCATATCATGCAAACTATCAGACTGACCCAAACAGGTTGCTGTGATCCACCTGCTGCGATAGTAAGGCGGCTGTGGACCGACGGAGAAATGCTGGGTTTTATTAAGACACAGCAAAAAACAATCTATTTTCCGTTTGGCTTGACAGAGCGTCCAAAGCTGCCCTCAGTCAGCTAGTGGGACGTGTTCTTAGGGTGAGGCAATGACGGAGTCCAATGGGTTTCACTGAGCTTTTCTCATGTTTATGTGAAAATTAGAAAGAAAATGTGTTTAAAACACAGTTTCCACAAATGTTATACTCGTACATTTTTAGTTTAATTCTGATAGATTTCAGTGTAACGACCATTTGGGCTGAAATGTGCTGGACAGAGCCACGGAGAGAGTCCAGATGTGAGTTAAAAGACCAATATGCTCATAAAGAATAGGTGAATTTCAGCATGAAAGAAAAAATTACGCTGATAATGAGCTAATTTGGATTTATTAAGCTTTTAGGACAGTATTCAGAATGAAATGTAATAATATAGAGAACTTTCTCACCCTGCTAGAGAAATAAAGGAAATGTCAGTTTCTGTTTTAAAGAGGCAAGGCAAGACAAGGCAAATTTATTTGTATAGCACAATTCAGTACAAAGACAATGCAAAGTGCTTTACATGATTAAAATACAGGAAGATAAAAAAGAATCAAAGCAAGTAGGAAAAAAAATAAAAAAATAAAAAATTCAGAAACAAAAAAAAGAATATTAAAAACAGTTGGAAGTTTTTGTTAGATTACATTTATTTATTTGATTTCTTTTTTTCTTTTTTTTTTTATAAGAGGCATAATAAAAAAAAGTAAAAAATAACTATGTAATGTATTTTCTTCACCGACCAGTAAGGAACGGTAGACAAGGACAAAAAGATCGCAGTTCTCCAGATTCCACAGAAATAGATTTTATTATATATTCTGATCATATTTACACACATCATTATTTTTTGTCGCTTGTGTTATAAAAGTAAAAGGCTTTTAAATACTCAGTTAGAATGAGATCATGATTATGAGCATGTATAACAATAGAGAAAACTTATCAGTATCAATACAAAAAAAGTCTGTTTAAAGGATTTGGCCTCTCACAGCCAAGCAGGCTTGGTGGTCTGAGCTCTAATTACAATTTAAGTTCTGCCCTTTTTCCGCTGGTCCTTATTTCAAATACTGTAGTTAAAACAAAGATTTATAATCATTGATACTGATATATGATCATGTATTATCAGCCATATTCCACAGATGTGGTGACAAGATGGGAACAGCTATTATTTTAAAGGAACACAAAGGTGTTGTCACGTTAACACGTTAACAATAAAAAATATGTTTATGATCTTTAAAACTTTTAGGATAATGCTCAATGCATTAATTAGACAGTTATAAAAAATATTTTGTCTACACGTAAGATTATATAAAGATTATAAGATTATATAAAGATTATAAAAAAGATAATAGCCATAACCAAGCACTTTGAAGGTCCGAGGCTGAAAACAGATTTTTATATCTACTCAATTTATCTTGGACTCTTGATAAACTTTGCAGCTGTGAGACAAAAATAAACAACAGATGAAATCTGTAAAGGTTTATCCTCTTCCATTGGCGCCGTAGGTTTCATAATGTGTGCCCGGCTCGCTTTTGTTAAAATGGGAAGTGTCTGTCTGTGACAAAGGATGAAACCACGAAACTCGCGTCACAAGGGAAGTGAAAATAAAGCTGACATTCATGTTCGTCTTTACAGTAAGTCTCACTTAAACATACAGAAAAACAGCCAGATTTGCATTTTGTGCATATGGGTCAATAAAATCACTGAGTTCAGCACAGATCCTGCAGACCAGACCATCCAGGAAATGCTGAAAGTAGAAGCCATGTTTGCTTTTCCTGGACATTTCCATAGCTATGGACAGCTGAAAACCTATCAGCTCCACTGAAACACTTGCAGATTGTTTTGTTTTTTTACTGCCAGACCCACTAGAATACAACATCTGCTATATTCAGAAGTATTATTAACCGAGTGCCTTTATTTTAATGGCTGATTAGTAGGTTTTAGACATTGATCTTGTGATGGATTTCATATGCATATATCTTGATGTGCCACTGGAAAAATAAATGATCATAAAGAAGTATTGTCTATGAGTATGTCATAAATAACTGACATTATAACGGCTTTGCTTTGAATCTGTGTGAGAGAAAGCCTCAGCTATTTTCCCGACTATATAGGAGATCTTTAACGGGAATCTGGGGCAGAAACACTTTCACCCTAATTTGTTTAAAGCTCCTGTGAGATATGAGCCTCAGATATTAGCTGCATGCTGAGCCGGGGGGTACAATGACGTATAGCAAGTGATGTAAAGGATGAACTAATAATAACGAGGACACCGATTTCTCTTTGTAACGTTTTATTTTCTTTTTAATATTTACAGATGTTTCTGACATTTCTGAGCAGTTTATTAGTAATTTATTCATCTGTATTCCATGTAGGCCAATGCCAACATTGTTAGAGAAGTGGACGTGGAGAAGGTCTTCAAGTTTGAGAATCCTTACGTTGATGCCATCAAGAACTTGTGGAATGACCCCGGCATCCAGGAGTGTTATGATCGAAGGAGGGAGTACCAGCTCTCAGATTCTACTAAATAGTGAGTAGAACAGGACACCGTTTTGATCGGGATGCCACCCTAATGAAAAATAATTTCCTATTCTGTCTTGTCCTTCTAGTTACCTAAACGCACTTGACCGGATCGCTGAACCTTCCTATCTTCCCACCCAGCAGGATGTGTTGAGGGTTCGGGTTCCCACCACCGGCATCATTGAATATCCATTCGATCTGCAGAGCGTCATATTCAGGTGATGCCGTATGACTTTTTACACATTCATATTCCAACTTTATTGATTCTCTACCATCTCATTTGCTAAGTAAAACTAGATACATATTTAGATATATTTTAGTTTCAATTGTTTTAGGTGTTTTGTTTGTTTTTTGTTCTGACCTGAATAGGATGTTGTCTTTTCTTTCCTATTTTATGTCACATCTAGGAGAAAGACTCTTTGTCATTTAAATCCTTTGGACAAAGAAGGTTAAGGGACCATATAGTTAAATCAACATCAATAAAAATGGTCAAAAATGTAAAATAATGATTTAGTTCATATTTATTTTGTAATTCAGACAGTAATTCTGGCACCAGTGAGTTTTTTAAAAAGCATAAACGTGAATCGAGAGCTTCCGGTGAAGATGGCGGGCTAGAAGACGTGTTTTCACTTTGCTCGTGCTCCCATCCGTCTATATTACAGTATAATACGCGCTACTGTCTATATTTTCGAGGGATATATTGAATTGGCGTTTTACGAATACGCAACACCGTAGAATACATTTATTGGACAACGAGCGATGTCAAAACAGACGAAAATACAACCACGAAAGATGGCGACCGCCGCGATGACTACCAGTGCTAGCCAAACTGATGTGCTAGCAGCAACAGGTGACCAGCCTTCGCCTCCGGCGGACACAGCTGCCCTCGTCCGTGAAGTGACTAAAAGTATCAGTGAGGTAATGGACCAAAAATTGTCTGCACTTTCTGGGACTCTGGATAAAATATCGTCCTCATTGGAAGGACTTTCGACACGCGTTACGGAGACAGAGCAGAGAATCTCAGATGTGGAGGACATTGTCACCGACATAACGGGGAGACTGACTGAAGCCGAAGAGAAAATTAAGACCATGGTCAAGGGATTGGATGACATAGAGAACAGGAGCAGGCGGGATAACATCCGTATTATTAATCTGAAAGAAGGCTCGGAGGGTCAGAACCCTATCCAGTTTTTCGAGGCCTGGCTGCCTGCTACGCTCGGCCTGGGGAGCGGCTCCGCGGGTGGGGCTCTCATCAAAGTAGACCGCGCACACCGGGGCCTCGGCCCGCGGGGCGCGCGTCCCAGACCGGTCATTATTAAGCTCCACAACCCCAGGGACAAGCAGCGCATCATGGCGGCAGTGAGAGCGACTCCCGAGCTTGACTACGAGGGACAGCGGATCTTTATACATCAGGATTTCTCTTATGCAGTCCGTGAGAAGCGGAGGGGATTTAACGCTACTTGCCGAGCTTTGATTGACAAGGGCATCCGCTTCAACATGCGCTACCCAGCGACACTCACGCTGACTCACAATGGGACTGAACACAAGTTTGACTCGCCGAAGGATGCGCAGAACTTCATCAAGGCACTGGACTAACATTCAACTTGGATTATTATATTGAGGCGGCCCAGGCAAGGCACGTCTGCTGTGTTTATTGCGATTAAGGTACAGAGAGACTGTTTAAAGGGTGGATACGTATTATCTTTTTACAGTGACGTATTAATAGAGCCATTTGACCGTTGAAACAGATTAATGTTTAGTTTCATAATTGACAGTAACCAGGTAATATTTTGGATGGGGGGGAGTAGGGGTGGGATTTCTTTTTTTTTTCTCCCGAGGAGTGAGACTTCTTTTGGCTGCACTGGGCCTTGTAACACCACCTATTTGGTGGCTTTTCATTTTTTTGTTTTTGATTTATATATTTACTTTTATGTTTTTTTATGCTATTGTTATGTGGTTAGTTGTGTGTGTGGGGGTTCGTTTGCCATCAGAGTGTGATGGTTCTGTTCATGTCAGCACAGCCAGTCCAGGTCATAGGTTAAAACTTGTACATTTTGTTTATTGTGATGGGTCTTCTTGCTTACTTGGATTGCTAATTTTATGTTTAATGAATCACATTTTTTATAATGAGTAACACAAAATTTGTAACACTTAATGTCAAGGGAATTAATCACGTCATTAAGAGGCGTAAAATACTCTCTTTGCTCAAAAAAGATAGGGCCCAGATCGCGTTACTGCAGGAAACTCACCTAACTGATCTTGAACACTCAAAACTTAAGCGTGACTGGGTGGGACAAATTTACTATTCCTCCTTTAACTCTAAAAGTCGGGGAGTTGCAATATTGATCCATAAGAAATTACCATTTACCTTGAATAAGATCATAAGGGATGCAGATGGACGATTTGTTTTGGTTTCTGGGCTTCTGCATGGTGAGCAAATTCTTCTAGGTAGTGTCTATGCTCCAAATGCTTTTGATGGTAGGTTCTATTCAAAATTTTTGGCAGAGGTTTCTTCAATCTGCCAAAACCACATAATAATCGGTGGTGATTTTAATTGCGGTTTAGCCCCTGAAACTGATTATAATCCACCAAAATCTCAACTACCCTCAAGAATGGTTAGGGCTACAATTGAGTTATGCTCAGATCTTGGTCTTTTGGATTCCTGGAGAATTTGTAACCCACATGTGAAAGACTTTACTTTTTTTTCACGTCCCCATTCTTCTTTTTCTAGAATTGATTATATATTTGTTTCCAGATCTGTTCTTGACAGAATTCAGGGTTGTTCAATTAACACATGCGCTCTCTCAGACCATTCTTCAGTTTCAATGGAATTTTTACCACCTTATTATGACTCCTTGTCTAGACATTGGCGTCTTAATCCAACTTTGCTTAGTGACTCTGTATTTTTAAAATATTTAGAAGATCAATGGGAGCTTTTTATCTCTACAAATGATTCATCAGAGGTCAGTGCCTCTACCTTATGGGAAGAAGGCAAGGCATTTCTCAGGGGCTCTATAATTTCTTTCACAGCAGCGAAAAAAAAGAAAACCTTGGCTAAACAACTGGAACTTGAACAGGATATTGTTAATCTGGAGAGGGAGTTTAAACAATCTACGTCCATTTCTGTGCTTAAAAAGCTGGATGCAGCCAGATTAGCTTTGGACCAACTATTAACTCAAAAAGCTGAAACTACAATATTCTATGCAAAGCACAGATTATTTGAATCTGGCAATAAACCTGGCCGTTTGCTTGCCCGACTTGCCCAGGGGAAGAATGGGTCTTATGCAATACCCTCTCTCAAAGATAAGAAAGGTGATCTACACTATGAGACTAAGCTTATCAGTAAAATAATGAAAGAGTTCTACCAAGAACTATATTCTTCTGAGTGTCAAGACTCTGCAGATTCTAGGAAGGGCTTTTTGGATAATATTAAACTCCCTACACTGTCGGAAGAGAGACAATTGGATTTGTGTAGACCTATTAGGACACAGGAAGTCTTAGAGGCCATCAAATCTCTACAGGATGGAAAAGCTCCGGGCCCTGATGGGTTTGGGCCGAAGTTTTATAAGAAAATGGCTAAACACATTGCAAATCCCTTATTAAATATGTATATGGAATCATTTGAGAAGGGCGTGCTCCCACCTACCCTCAACCTTACCCACATATCCCTGATATTGAAGAAGGATAGGCCGGCCGATCTATGTACATCATACAGACCTATAAGTTTGCTTGGTGTAGATTGCAAAATTTTGTCAAAAATACTGTCTAGGAGATTGGAGGAGGTTCTGCCAGTTCTAGTAAAGCCTGACCAGACAGGCTTTGTCAAAAATAGATACTCCCACTCCAACGTACGCCGACTTATAAATATTGTACAGTTTTCTCAGAACACTAACTGCAGGGCTCTCGCCATTTCATTGGATGCTGAGAAAGCATTCGATCGTGTGGAGTGGGGGTATCTGTTCGATGTTTTGGAAAGGTTTGGTTTGGGATCTGAATTTGCCAAGTGGGTCAAACTGTTATACGGGGCTCCAGCTGCAAGGGTTTTGGTAAATGGTTCTGCTTCTGATATTTTTCCTCTGAGTAGAGGGACACGCCAGGGATGTCCCCTCTCCCCTTTATTGTTTGCGCTGGCTCTGGAGCCATTGGCAGAAGCTATAAGAACCCACTCTGGGATTTCTGGAGTAACCTTGGGAGATACTGAATACAAAATCTCGCTTTATGCAGATGACGTGTTACTGTTTGTCACTAAGCTAGAAACATCTATCCCTGCATTAATATCCACTATTAATCAATTTGGCCTTTTTTCAGGGTACAAAATAAATTATGATAAATCAGAAGCTTTGCCACTTGGTGACCAGGGGGGATGGGACACTCCTGATAATTTTCCTTTCAGGTGGTCATTCACAGGTTTTACATATCTGGGCATCAGGGTGTCCTCGGACATAACAGAGCTATACAAGTTAAATTTTAGGCCAATTGTGGCCTCAATCAAAAATGACCTTAATCGGTGGTTTGACCTTCCGATATCTTGGATGGGTAGAATAAGTTTGATTAAAATGAATGTTCTTCCTAGAATATTATATCCTATGCAAATGCTGCCTCTTAGAATCACCAAAAAAACATTTTCAGAGATCGAGGGGTGTTTCTCTAATTTTATATGGCACGGAAAGAAGTCTAGGCTAAAATTAGGGATTTTACAATTACCTTTAGATGAAGGGGGTCAGGCTCTTCCTAACCTTCTTTATTATTACTGGGCTTGCCATGTACGGATAATCTCAGGATGGTTACATTCTTTTTTACATCTAGGTGAGCCACCTGTAGATACTTGGTGCTGTGACCCCCTTTCTCTTCTTAGTCTGTTATCTATTGTGTCAGCTGAACTTCCACTGGGTGTGAGAAATAACTCAATTTTGATGTGTACACTCAAGGTTTGGCATAATATTGCTGCCCACATTGGAAGAAGAGGTTTTTCTAGTGCATTGCAACCTCTAATTAGGAACCAGGCTTTCCCTCCAGGTATGGGCATTAGTGTATTTGATGATTGGCATTCTAAAAAGATAAGATTTGTTTGTAATTTATTTGAAAAGGGTAGTTTTATGTCCTTTAAACAAATTCAAACTAAGTACAATATACCACAAAAACACTTTTTTGGGTTTTTGCAAGTGAGACACTTTGTAAATTCTCTTAAATTCCCAGTCAACCAATCTGTTTTGAACCCTATCGAAAGTTTTCTTCTTAAATTTAATGAAGATGCACTCACTAAAAAGAAATTCATTTCTCTGTGCTATGGGAAATTACTGTCTTTGAATTTTGTTACAACTGATAAGGCCAGGGTTCGGTGGGAAACAGACTTGGAAGTTGAGCTTAGCTCAGAAGCATGGTCAAAAGCTTTTAGGTTTGCTAAGAAAATGTTTACTTGTAACAGACTTCGGGAAAGCCATTACAGAATTCTACATAGAATGCAGCGTACCCCAGAGTTTTTACATAAAATTCACCCTCAAATTTCCCCTCTGTGCGTAAAATGCAATACAGATGTGGGGACTTACTATCACTGTATATGGAAATGCCCTATAATTGCTAGATTCTGGAATAATGTTTCTATAGAGCTTCGCTCAATATTTCACCAGACAGTCCCACTGAACCCTGTGCTGTTTATTCTTGGTCTTTCTGTAGAAGGGCTTTCTCTATCTTCAACACAAATGACTTTACTCCGTAAACTTTTACATTTGGCAAGACGTTGCGTACTGTTTCAGTGGATTCGGGGACAGCCCCCTTCTGTGACACAGTGGTACAGAGAAACATTCAAGGTGTTTCCGCTGGAGCGCCTCAGTGCCATTATAAAGGGAAATTGTAATGATTTCTATGGAGTATGGCAGCCTCTGCTTGATCATCTGCCTAGTGAGCTTGCAGAGCTATTACACAAAGGGGGAACACAGTTTGTCTTTAAACATTATGTTTGATTGTTTTTGTTTATTTTTATTTTTTCCTTTTTCCTTGATTTATCATATGGAGTATAGGTTTTGACCATGATGTGTATTTGAAATTCATATACCGGACATTTTGCTGGACATCTCATACTTTGCATTAGACTTTGCTGTGCTGAATTGTTGTTGTTTGTCTTGTTTCTAAAAGACAATAAAGTATTGTTTAAAAAAAAAAAAAAAGCATAAACGTGGAACCAAATGGATGCACAAGGATTCAACATATAAATAAAAAAGCAGACTGTACTATAAGGGCAAATTTTCCAACATAAGAATAGGTACTGTACAGTTTTTAAAAATTACATAATCCTAAAAAAACGAGGGATTGATGGACTGAGGGGATCTCCTGTAGCGGCCTGTGTTACAGAACGGGTGATGATGATGATGATGATGATGATGATATTGATGTATTGATGATGGCTCTGTTTTGACAGGATGGTGGACGTTGGGGGTCAGAGGTCAGAGAGGAGAAAGTGGATTCACTGCTTTGAGAACGTCACATCGATCATGTTCCTGGTGGCGCTCAGCGAGTACGACCAGGTGCTGGTGGAGTCAGACAATGAGGTAACTATTGGGGAGCCATCTGTTCCCGTTTATAGAAGAAAGACGGAGGAAAATACTAGATGGTAACGATTTTTTTTTATTTTTTATATGAGATCCTAATAGCATGTTTGCTTTCAGTGGATCTGAATTTAAGGTTGAACTGATGCTTTCAGTAAAGTCTGGATACCAGGTTTTCATCCTGCTAGGATGTGTGACGCTTCTTCTGCTACTTGGAGAACATTCATAAAAGATCAGTTGGCTGTTCTGAAAGCTGCATCAGGTCACTTTGCTTCTGGAGAATAAAGCGTCTCTGTTAGGTTGATAGAAGCAGCATAATGAGCAGATTTTATTACTGTGAGCTTTAGTAACCACAGACTGGTAGCTCTTCATGATGTCACTGATAATCAGTTCAACACTGAAATGAAGTTCTAGAAGATCAACAGTCCTTCTCTTATCCTCCATCTTCAGTGGACTGAAACATTTATTACTATCTCTCCTCATGGGTTTAATTAAGTCATTTTTGTCTTTGTTCAACCTTCACTGAACCACATCTACATTTGTGTCCCCTGGTCAGAACCGAATGGAGGAGAGTAAAGCTTTGTTCAGAACAATAATCACATACCCCTGGTTCCAAAACTCCTCTGTTATTCTGTTCCTGAACAAGAAAGACCTGCTGGAGGAAAAGATCATGTACTCCCATCTGGTCGACTACTTCCCAGAGTACGACGGTGAGTTGTCGTCCTTTTCATTAAAGAGCTTTATTTGTCATTTCTTTTCACTTGCCGATCGCCCTGCTGGAAGGTCATCAATAACGGGCCTTTTTGTGAAGATGTAATTAAACCCATAAAGCAGAAAATACTTTTAGGTTGAGCAGAATCTTTCTTTCTTTCTTTCTTTCTTTCTTTCTTTCTTTCTTTCTTTCTTTCTTTCTTTCTTTCTTTCTTTCTTTCTTTCTTTCTTTCTTTCTTTCTTTCTTTCTTTCTTTCTCTCTTTCTCTCTTTCTCTCTTTCTCTCTTTCTCTCTTTCTCTCTCTCTCTCTCTCTCTCTCTCTCTCTCTCTCTTTCTTTCTTTCTTTCTTCCATCCTAATGAGCAATATGAAAAACCTCAAAGCTAATTTAGTACCTGATAAGGAAAGCTGAACTGAATGTGATGTCATTCATTCATTGAGGCATAAAATAAGAAATGCTGCCCCCTGCTGATGACTGGATAGAATGCAGCTATATATATATATATATATATATATATATATATATATATATATATATATATATATATATATATATATATATATATATATAGACACACACACACACACAGCTGCATTCTGTGCAGCACCCCTTTCTTTACTGGTAGGGCTGGACTGAGTTTTTCCCTGATATTTTCCCATTGCTGGGTTACAGAGGGCGACCGGTTCTTCCTTTTACAATCTTTCTAGATCCTCCAGACGCTGCTGATCCCTCATTTAGAATCTCTTCAGCTCACCCCTTAGGTCCTCTACAGGTTTTGTGTCTTGGGACTGAGAAGGCTACTAAAAAGAAGTTTAAATATCTTTCTGAGGTTTCCTCTGTGTTGATTGGCGAACCATGTAATATTTCTGGTAAGATTATTTAGACCATGTAAAATTCTGAGGTAATGCAGAGGATACCAGGCCCTTAGAAGCGAAACAGACTCCCAGCATTACAGATCATTCACCGTTCTTCACAGCATTTAAGAGGAGCACCCCCCATCATCCTTCGTTTCAGGTTAAACCCATCTGAACTATGTCCATGGCTTTAAAAATAATTAAATTGCGCCGACATCAATTTGAATTGAGGTGTCTTTCAAATCATGATGTGCTTGTAATTGTTAATTAGACCTGCCTTTTTATAGTGTTAACATTAATTTACAAATTCTTTCATGTCAAAATTCAAAATGTTTCATCTCAGTTTTGAAATAAAGACAAAGATCAACCGGTTGCATCCATGGTGAATGTATTCCTTCCTCTGCAGGTCCTCAGAGGGATGCCCAAGCAGCTCGAGAGTTTATTCTCAAGATGTTTGTGGACCTGAATCCAGACAATGACAAGATCATCTACTCTCACTTCACCTGCGCCACCGACACGGAGAACATCCGCTTCGTCTTTGCAGCCGTCAAAGACACGATCCTGCAGCTCAACCTGAAGGAGTACAACCTGGTGTAGAGCGCGGCCCCTCCCTGACACAATGACTGACTCGATCCGTGAACAGAAGGCCTTCATACATATACACACTTATGAATTATCTAAGGAAAACAGAAGCTGATGGTTGCATATGACTAATTTATTGGCCCTCTGACGTCTTGGTGTGCTTTGGGGGGAGGCGGGACTCTTAAAAGGTCATCTTGCTATTCAGGAGTTGGGGGGGAAATACGTGAAGCTCCCGTCACACCTGCCTTTTTATAAACCAGAAGAAAAAAAAGTTTCCTTTCTTTGTTTTTCTTTGTAACCTTCATTGTGTACCCATAATTCATTCTGACGGTTCATCATGAACCTTTAGTCTAACAGGAAGTGATGTAACAGCTTTTTAATGAACAGCATCCTTTTTTTCTTTCATGCACGTCTCTTCTATTGTAGGCCTAAACTGTGATTTTTAAATTATTTGAGAATGATTTGATACCGATACACTTTGATCATTATTAGTGTTATGATATTCCATTGCTTTGGTACCATTTCATAAGTAGAGCACATTTGAATGTGGAGGTGTATTTACAGCATTCTGACACAAACATGAGGGTCAGCACAAACGGAGGAAATCGGCCGTATGCTGAGTGACCGGCTGCAGAGTTTCCTTCCAGCAGACTGACAGGAGGACAGAGGGTCTTGTGATTTTAGAAACATTAATGTTAAACTGTGCCACATCCTAGCATTTTCTCTTCTTCTTTAAATAGTTTAAAATCAAATGTATTACCAACGCCAAAACGACTCGATCAGCGGACCGCTCTATAAGTGTTCAGGAGAGAAAAGAGCAAGCCTGTTGGTTGCAGAAGTAACCGACTTATATCAACCATTTGTCTCTCGCATGGGGTTCAGACTCATCCCTTCCATTCTAATCACTAGTTGGCTGCATCTTTGTGTCCAACCGCAGCCCGGCTGTGCTGACTGTTGTGGCTGAACTAGATGCGCGGCATAAATCCTGTTGGTTGCTACGTAATGAAATAAAAAGGGCACAGTGTTGATGTGCAGGTTGTACCAAAGCAAAGCCCTCTGTGTTTATAATCAGCACCTCTTTACCTGCGATTTGCTTTGGAGTATTTTCCTACAACATAAGCCTGTATTTTACATTTATTGAGGCATAGTGCAATTATGAATGCTATAATCATTGTACATACATCTCTCTATAAATATATATATATATGTATGTGGCAGCGTCTTTGTTGGCTTTGTAATCATGACCTTTTTTGGGCAGATTGAATGTGCGGTATTGAAAATGTGTATCTGTATAATTGTACATCCATCGGCTAAATCAGTTTTGTTCGAGGAAAAAAAAAAGTTATTTACATGCTGTTTTTTTTTTTGTTTCCTTTCTTTTGTCAGGTGAGAATGTAAAAGTTTGCGTTGGTCACATTAATCTCTCGATAAGGAGATATCATTTAGGTTCAGAATTACTAACATTAATATAAAACCCGTACTAATCCTAGCTGTTTTATTAAATGTACTGTTTTGGGTTTTTTTTTTTTTGAGAGATGGTGACCTGAATCAAATCTAAGAGCTTAATTCTTACGTTTTCTCCCAGCAGGCCTCAGAATGGAGCACTTGTTTTCATAATGCATACATCTCTGATTTTTACTCATGATGTTTAAGTTTTATAAGGTATTAATTAGCTTTGGAGGCTCTTGTACACATGTTGAGTTTTCATGGATGTGCTCCTAATCCATCACATTTAAAGGCAACATGTTTTGTAGCATCAGTCCAAAAAGAAAAGCTGTTGCCTTAAAGCAATTTGAAAGAAGAATGAATATTTTAGGGGGTAAATGTTCTACATACTGGAACAGCCAGTGTTTAAATCAAATAATTATTGTACACAATCTCAAACCATAAGTAGAATAAACCATTTATTGGTGCTTTTCACATTTTCTTTTTTTTACATTTTTTTTTTCATCTCAATTGCCATTTTTATTAGAATGTACAGTATTATTTCTTTTTTTTTTATTTATAAAACTCCAACAAAACTAGAATTCACCTGTACATATTGCCTTATTGTTGAGCTGTGCCTCTTAAGTCTCACCAAGGCACTTTTTTTAAGTATGCAGTGAAGCTAATGAAACTGATAACGTCCCGTTGTAATTTTCATGTCTGGTTGGTGATTTTTTTGTTGTTGTTCCGTGCTGAGAAGCCCTGGGAACGGCTCTGAAGTGTAGCTCATGTGACTGTAACAGCAGGACATTAGAAGCACCTCATGAACGAACTGATTCACTCTGTTCATTTCTGTTGTCGCATCTGATTCATGTCTTAAATGTTTTTACCGGAGTGCATTATGATGCATTGAACTGCCTGGCACGGATTAAAACAGCATGGAGGCGTGTGGAATGGGATTGCTTTTTTTGATTTTTTTTTTCCCACATTCCTATTTTGAAATCAAGTCATAACTTCAGAAGGTAAAATAAGCATATATTCATTTTTTCAGCTTCATTGAGGGGAAAAATCCCCACCAAAAAATGTAATTGCAAGCTCTAATCAAATGTTCATCACCCCTGTTGCCAAAATCCTGGCAATTGACTGATTATTAAAATATTAGTCTGAAAAAGAAAAAAAAAATGCTTAACTTTGATTGAATATGACTTGTGATTTTTTTCTTTAAGTAGAGGCTAAAGAAACTGTTTTTTAATTTGCTATTTTATTCTAAAGAGAGGTCAAAAATGTATTTATACCCTGCGTAATAATCATTAGTTAAATACTTTCTAGTGTCATAGCATTCTTCCCTGATTTAGCATGTTTCTACCAGTCCTTGAAAAAATATGTTGATGAGCTTTTTAAAGATATACCAGACACAGATTAATTTCACCAGCGAACAAACAGCTAAATAAAAGAAGTAAGATTTTGAAATTGCGCCACCATGATGAGAGATTGATTCCATTCAAAGCTTTTTTCCTCGCTAAATGTGTTAGGCAACTTTATTTATAAAGCAGAATTTAGTACAAAGTATAAAGCACTTTATTCAAAGTGCTTTATATGAATTAAAAATAAAATAGAAAATAAAGGCAAGTAAAGATAAAAACATGATAAAAGCAGGTAGTCGGGCAAATAAAAAGTTTTGGACCACAACCGTAAACTAATAACACCTCTGCTTTTACTAAGTTACCTCAATAAATGAATTCTTGTGACTCCTTGTAAAGAAAACCTGAAGCTTCTGTTGCTGTTCCTGTGAAGTGTCCCTCTCACTTTGATCACTCTGAGAAAAGATCACAGTTCGTAAAGTATTATAAAGTATACAGACACATAACTGAATTGTTCTTGTGAAAACTTATAGTGTGAATGAAGTCTGCTATCAATAAGAGCGATCTCTTAATCTTCACATCATTCTGAGGTTTCTTCCTTTTTATAGATCATTTTCTTCTTCTAAGCAATGTTTCCCTCTATGTTTCAGAGCAAGTCAAAGTTTGGAGAAAAAAAAAGAGTTCCTATAAACTTCAAACTCCAGCATCAAGGGGCAGTGCTTGACTATCACTGCCCCTACATAGTTAGAAACCAATGAAGAGGACAGATTTCCCACTGGGATCAGCTTCATAGTCATGGTAGGACACTTCTTTGATTTTATTTATTTTCCTCAGGCTACTCGTAAGCCCACAGCCCGCCAAATGTTGAAAGGGCAATATTATTACCATTGCTGTTAATATATAGTAGAGATTTTACACATTCATTAATAAAATGTCACAGGGGATTGATATTTAATTTAATTCAGTTCAGTTTATTTATATAGCGTCAACTCACAACACATGTCATCTCAGGGCACTTTACAGTTCACCAGATCATACAGTCAAATTGATTTAAAGTTTTCTCTCCAAGGAAAACCAGTTGCATCCACTCATTGAATTGAAGGCAATCCCTTCACACTAAGCATGCTTGCAGCGACAGTAGAGAGGAAAAACTCCCTTTTACCAGAAATAAACCTCCAGCAGAACCAAGCTAAATGTGAGCAGCCATCTGCTGAGGCCGACTGGGGTTCAAGGAGAGAGAAGATCCCCCCTCATCCCCTCTCAACTCGACTACTGCACATACTGCATGTTTCTCCTCAGCTCAAATCAAATCTAAATACTATTTGAAGCCAGTTTCATAACCTGGTTGTTAAATTTCTTCAGCCCTTAAGCTGAATTCAACAGATTTACTGAATGTTCCTGGAGATGCAGTTTGAAGTTTAAGGAACAGTCCCTGCACCACCTAGACATTGCAGTGAAAGAAAGGATGTTTTCAGTTTGCTCACAACTGTATAAATGACATAAAGAGGTGCAGGGATTTTGTTGTGGGAATTAAAATGAGTTTTTGCATCACTGGTATGTGGGGAGGAGGAGAATGCAAATGACATTGCGTCTTCAGTGAAGCATGGTGCTGGCTCAGTGATGTTTCCTACTAGATGGCTTCATCAGTCTCCACTAAACTCAAAAAGCCAGGATCCTTGACTCCTCAAAGTTATTGTTAGCTTTGTTACTTTATCCAGTTCTAGACCACAATTTCCAGGGGGCCACGGTGAGGCCAGTGTTTTTTAATTGGGGCACAACTGAAAAAACAAACAAACAGGGCAATGGTTCATTGTTTAATTCATTGAATGAGCCAAAGAGCCAAATGCTTCTCTGGGGCTGCAGGTTGTAAACATCTGATCTAACAGAGGGAAAGCTGAATCTATATGGCTAAAGCTAAAAGTGCAGCAACTTCATATTTAAAGTAAAACAGTAAAGATAGAAGTTAAACCAGATCAAAGGTTCAAATCAGTTATGGTGTTTGGACCAGAGAAATATCATCATAAGAAACTCATTTAGTACGATTTCTTTAGTACAGGGGCCAAAGCCAGTTCTACAGTGGCCCTTGTTGGCCCCGGTCTAGAGCCGCCCATGTTTTTATCATATTTTTTATATTTACTTAATTTTCCATTAAATGCTTAAGTAAAGCACTATGTGACTTTCCATCTTTTTTTTTCATGTAGAGAGTATAGTTACTCTCCTCCTTCCTTTTATTGGCCTGAACTCAACATTTCATCATTATAAAATAATATTCAGTTTGAAAATGATTTTAAACATTTATTTTGACAGAGCACTTTTGTTTCTCTCTGTTTTTTCCCCTGTTTAAATATGATCTATATATATATAAAATATGTAAATATGGGATCTTGGTCTTCCTTGCTGCCCCAGTCTGCCCCCTGGCGGCCGTTTGAAGACATATACCGGTATAGGTCTTTACTAATACCCTTTCCCCCCTTAATTTTCCTGTGGATGCATGATGTAACTCTGCTCCTCTGAGCCCCCAGCATGCCTGATCTTCCTGCCACTGCAGCTCCCTCAGCGCAGCGTGTGAAGTGTGCTGCCTCTGAAGCCTCACTTCCCATTTATCCCTTTCTATTTGTGGGCAGAGCCACGCCCTCCAGGCTGGGTAGGAAAAAGTTCACCAACCATCTATCTGGTTCACACTGACCTCTACACTTCAAGAACCCAAAAGAAGCTCCTCCATTAAAAGGATTTAAAGCTGATTGCGCTGACTCCTCACAGCTGGGGGATCAATAATATTTATCAGATCATCTTTCCTATAAAACTGTTGATCTTTTACTCTAAAGAGGAAAATTCTTCATTCCTGAAGATGCCCTGCGCCTCTTCTCGGCTGAAACTTTAAGCTCTTGAGCTGTTTTATTTTTTCCCCTCATTTGAAGATCCCAAAGCTTTTTTTCCCCCCTTCATTTTGACAGCTGACAGCTGTTCACCATAGGGGCCGTTGGCTCGTTGTGCAGGAGGATGGCTGGGTG